GTTCGGTGTTTGTGTTCCATTCTCGGCCGTTGCCGGACACATGCGATAGCTTTCGAACACTTGAAGCGCCTGCCGCCATTGTTGTGGCCAGTGCGCCGTACCACGTTCGCTGGCAATCCGAAACGCCGACCGGATATCGTCGTAAGCTTCCCCCAGTAAACGACCAGCGTCGTGTGTTTGGATTGGCAGTGTTTGCAGTTTGGCCGGCGCGAGTTGCTCGACCGCGGGTGCTGTTTCAGCACGGACCGTCGTGTTTAACCCGGGCCGACGGAGGTCACTTGGTTTGGACGCGCCTTGCGTTGCTGCCCGTCTTTTGTTTTCGACCGGATCCATCTGGGAAACAAAACATTTTACTGAGTTCATTCAATGTGACACGTTTTCGGTTTAAAAAATTACACGACAAGTTTTCTGCACGGTCCACTCTGGACGGATCTCGTTTTGGACGCATTGAAAACGAACCGCGGTAAATGTCAAAATCATCCAACCCGAACAGCTCACAAAGTGGGGCCAGGTCCGTGTTTGGTTCGCCAAAAGACCATCCGGAGTGAATCGTGCCGACCCGGCTTTTACACATAAATTCGTCTACAGCTAATTTTTCGTCAATTTTAATACGCCTAAAATACCAGTAATCATCGTTTCGGTTTTGATTATTTTGTTTTCGTTTCTATATCATTTTGAAAAATTTGCTATAACTCGTGACGTTAAGCAGCTATTGTAATCGTTTACTATTTCGACACGAGAAAAAACAAATTATTACATGACCGGGGACCGATTTACTACAAACAGGTGTATCGTAAACGTGTGTCAATGTTATGTTTTTAAAGCCTATATTGTAAAAATGTTGAAACATTTGTTTAATTTTTTGCAGCTCAAAAAACTTGGAGTTTTACCGTTATTTCTCATTAATAAACCATTTAAATTAATTATGCCACGATATTTTTGTCAATCGAAATTGATATTTCATTTGACAGCTGACAAAAATATTGCTCGCAAAAATCGTGCCAAGTCTAAAATTTCGAATTTATGAAAATTTTAATCAAAACACAATTAATTAGAATTTAACAACATTTTTTTTTATTTGTAACATGGAATAATGCCCAAAAACCTGTATGATTTTTTTTAGAAACCGTGTACGACAGAAACTCGTTTTCGTAAATTTTTGTATTTATTTGGAAAACACAAAATGTTGAGTGATACATTACATTGTATGAGGATTTCGCAGGAAGTGTCATGGAATATTTACAGTTTCACAATCTCATAAGGAGTGACATACATTTGCGAAACACCCTGTTAACGTGTTATCAGCGTTACTTAACAGTGTAGGCAGAAGAGAAACGTGCAGTGAAATATCTGCGCACACTGATCCGCCGCCGCAATTCATCTCTCGTCGACTTGTAAAACAGCTAAAAACTCTTATAGGGTATTCATACAAAATGTAAGCGCAACGACAAAAGTTTAACTCCAAAAAAACGAAATAGCCGAAAGCAAGCATTTTCCCCTCATCGTTGGATCCAAGGTACAGCTGATTTGTACGATAAGACCCGTTTTGACTGTAGCAAGGGTACAGAACATTTCAATTGTGTTGAAAACACTCCTGCGGTGTCGTATGTCGATTTCAAATGATTTTACGACGTCGGCAAAACGGCGTAAACAGAAAAGCGTAACAAGAAATAGAATATTATGGATTGTAGCAATCGTTGACAACATATGTGCAACGCTCGGCTCGTGCAGGGAAAATCGTAACAAAATATTCGAATAACACACACACAATATACACAAAAGGTTACTCACAGCTGTTGAGCGTGCGTTTACGGATGTCCTTGTACCTATATGTGTGTAGACCTTGCCGGTTATGCCAATCCTTTCGATGGGGATAGGTTCAACAGACTGTCGACCAGTGGTACACTGGCCGCGCACGCTCAAGTCCAAAAGACCCTGACGAAAAGGGGCACGCAAGCGCGATACGTACACGAGCTCACCCTCGCACAAATCAATAACACGAGAACCTACTGTACTTATATATGTATATATATATATATATATATACATTGTTATTCTCCCCTAGTGCCAATATTCAACACATAAACGTGAACACAGGCCTGTTCCTCCGGTCACAGTCGTTTGTGTGTACACAAAGAGCGTACGCCCGAAAAATAGGGTGCCAGAGGGTACAAACAAAAAGCAGTCTTCAAATATAGTAATGACGGGAAACCTAGGGGGTGGGTAACTCGGCTCTTTAATTTTCTACTTGACTACCGTTTATGGATACGAAAATTCAAGTGCAAGCTTTCGGCACGGAAGCAAATTTCCTAATGACTACTAATAATGGGTAATTTTTTGGGTAGGTAAAATTGTCTAACAACGAGTGTTCGAGTTATTCTATTAACGAGGTAAAATGCCGAATGAATGTGTTAAAATCTAAGTTTTCCTAGCTATTTTGTAAAAAATACAAAGTGACTGGCGCTCGGGGACGGTAGAATTTTGTTAACGATTCAGTAACGTTTTACCAAGTATAGGCTGTACACCAGTAGTCTTCGATTCAGTATAAAAACTGATTAATGATATTACAATAAAAATAATGCGTACATTTACTCACCAGAGGACTATCCATCGACAGGGACACAATGCGTCTTTTGGTGATGAACAATAACTTAATCACATACAATATAAAATTAAAGCGGCTGCGGTTTGTATTAACGAATTTCACATTTATAGACCATGCGGCAACACAACGCAGTTTCTTGTTGCATATAAAATATTTAACATAAATTTAAATTTCAAAAATGTGTGCAAAATTAAGGAATTAAGTTGATATAATACCTAACTGCGCAGTTGTGTGATGTACATAAAGTAGCAAATAAAACATTTACAGAAATAATAAGAAAGAAAACATTTTCGACCTAGGCGTATATGTAACTTAAATGTAATTGGCAAGTATAATATTGTATACTATACAAGTTACATTATTATTTAAATAAATTAGGCGTAATTGAATTTAAAAAAAAAAAACAATAAGTTCTCGCAAATCGAGAACAACAGTCAATAACTTTAAGGTATTCAAAATATTTAAAATATCCGTAACACACGACATTGAGTGAGAAATTCAAAATAAGACTCATCTGATCACTATTTACAGATAAATCCAGAGAAGACGTGTTCAAATTGTTACCGTTTTCGTTTCTCTTAAAACCAATACATTGTCTTCGAATCTGGTCAAGTGATAAAATTAGGCCACTCCATGCAAAGTGTTATGAGACATGCCTTATTTTTTTATTTTTTAGTAGCCCAAATGAGAAAACACAAAACTTTAAATGACTTTGATTTTATTCGTTCGATAAAAAAAGGCCAAAAAAGTCGAAATGAAATACGACACCAAAAACATTTATAATAAACACTTCAACAAAATATCCACCGAAATCAAAGCTAATGTTATTTTTAGACCGACAAAAGGAGATAATTCAGAATTCAGACTTGGTACGCTTCAATTAATCAATTTCCTTCCATGTCATTCTAAATCATTTTGAACTTAGTACAATTTTCAGAAGTAGATATTTTTTGCGTCCAGTTTTAGATTATCAGAAAAAATTTGATCGACACAACGCTTAAAATTGCATCGAAGCTAAAAACTACTCAAGCCCATAATAAATATTGCAATCAAGAGAGCAGACGGATGATCTCTTTAGGAAACACATAACCGAGGCCATATAACAGAAAATCTATAAATAGTTGTTTTAATGGGTTTATTATAAAGTTATTATAGTCATTACGACGGTCGCCAGTTCAGATAGATATTAGGTTACAATAGGTACTTGTATCACGGTAACAAAGAGTTAGTTACCATACAGTCGTAATTTAGAAAGAAGGTTCAGAGTCAGAGAATATAGTAAATTCCATTTACATATAATATATATATATATATATATATATATATTTGGGTTTTAAACCACCGACGTTGTAGAAAAATCCCAACAAAATAAAATTATTATAAAATTTGAAATTGTACTTTAAATGAAACCGGCATTTTAAACAGGAGTTTGTTGTAGAAATGTATTATTGTTTTAGGTTTTTATGTTAACGCATGTATGTATTGTAAAAACGTTTTGCCTATTTTTCAGTGCTATGCACAAAAAAAACTGTTGATGTTTCATAACTCTAAAAACAATAATAATCAACATTTTTCGATAAAGCCATCAACATAATGTTCTAATAACTGTTTTTGTGTAATGTTTTAGATTTGTACCATAATGAAATGCATACAGTTCTAAGTGCTTAATCCAAAAAAAAAAACTATTCAAATAACCTAAATATCATTAAAAAAATATTAAATAAACTTTTATTTAGCGATAATCTTTTTATTTGAATAATCCAAGTAGCAAAAAAACATTTCAACTATGCCATATAAAACATTTAAACAATTTAATTATGTTACTATGGTATTATGTCCTATTATTGTTTTCATAATAATTTTGTGATAAGAAATATTTTTTAGACATTCAAATACGATTTCCTTTTATTAACAAATATTGCAAAAATAACATCTTTTAGGGGGAAAAATCTTACAAGCACACATATTGTTGGTCTTTTAACTATTTTACAGCTTCTACATCTGTGGTTTTTAGCAAAGTATAGAACAACATGTTATTATAGTATGCCATATTATATTATACACTTTTATATTTGTTTTGTCTTAAATCGACTATAAAGCGTTGTACAAAGAGTTTTATATCGAAAACAACATCTGTATTCAAGAATATTTTTTTACTAACGCAGAAAAATAAATCAATGATTTACCAATAATATATGACGTAAATATTAGGCATTTATTTTTTCATGCTCCACAAAATGTGTGTTATACTTATGTTACAGCTCTCATATTAATGTATAAGTAATTCACATTTGTAAAGTTTCGGCGCAAGACAAAAGACAAGGTATGCATTCAACAAATTTTTTATTGTTTAAGAACTTTCTTTTAACACAAAGTTTTTTTTTTAAACCTATTATCTTTTTCTAAGTATGGCGAAATTAGTTTAAAGTAATTAGAAGTTCTCCAAAATTCTAATACTTTTTTTTATTAAAAAAAAACTCTATCAACTTTAAAGTAAAAAAAAAATACTTTAATACCATTAAGGTAATTTCCAAGTTTATTACATCAATATAAAATACATCTTTAACTACTATCGTAGTCTGATTGGGAATGATGGGTTAATAAAACTATTTATTATAGTAACTTTAAAATTACCTTCAACAATATTATCAGTGCCCTTTTTAACATACTAAAATTGGCGTGTTGCCATGAATTAAACTATGATAATTAATACTTTCTCTAAAACTAAAAATTATTGAATAACCAGTTTTTTAAATTCATATGTTTAGTTCCTGTGCCATTGAAATTTATAAGTATAAGATATAGCAGTTGATTGCTTCAGTTGTGCGTTTTTTTAAGGTCAGCATTATTGTTACTAAACGATTAAACCATTACTTATATTTTGATAATTAAAACATTTGTTTGTAGTTCCTCCTACGATTGAAATGTATATGAATAAAATGTATCAGTTGTTTGGTGCAATTATTTATTTTTTTGGTCAGCATGTCACAAGTGTGCCAGAATCCGAAAAAGAATACTGGTTTTTCGACTCCAAAACGGCTTATGACATTGTACATGGATATGACTTGAAAGTACCGGAAAGTAAGTAAATTAAAAATGAATCATACAAATATGCACTCACAAAACTAATTAAGTTAAACACAATAATGTACAAATCAGACTGCCAGATTCAGCAAATATTTGGTGTGTTCAGACACGGTACGAGATATGGTTCCAAAGATGACACAAAAGATATGAAAAAATTACTGCCTTTCAGAAAAGATTTGGAAAAAAATGCTAATATGCCAAAAGAAGACATCGAAGCCATACAAAACTGGACGATTGGTGTAAGCGATGATATTAACAAAGATTTGAATGAACAAGGAATACAAGATATGAAAAAATTGTCATTAAGAGTAAAAAATGCATTTGGTGACATATTTCAAGAAACATTCAATACCGAAATCCATAAAGTAAAATTTAAAACATAGATTATTGTTATTTAAACTAAAGTACTTATATAAAGTGTTCGTATGCGATTTTTAATAATCAATAGGTATTAACTTCACACGAAACCCGCGCCAGACAAAGTGGCTATCATTTTTTAAAAAATGCATTTGGAAAAAAGATCAATATCACAAGTATTGATGACTTACCTATGTTTGAAAAGACGGATGTGACATTGAATGTAAAATATAATTGAACTATACTGTAACAATATTTAGATATTTAGGTAAATATTGAAAAACATATTTTTCGAATTGTTTAGATAGACAAATTAAGAGAAAAAAAATTGACTAAAGAAGAAAAAGCAAAACAAAAAGCACTAGGAACAGGACCAATAACAGAAATGACGAAATTCCAAAACAGTCCTATAATGTTAAGAACTCTGGAAAATATAGCTTATAAACTTGGATTAAAGTCACCTCTTAGATTTGGTAAATTCTTCATTTTTTTGCTATTTAATTTATTTTGAAAGAAGGGTGTTGCTATGCACATTTAAGCAAATTTCAATAAAACAACAAATTAAAAAATGAATAACGTATTGATGGCATATAAAGATATATATTTTATTTGATAAATTTCATATAACATTATTCATGATGTTAAAATAATAATGCTATGATAAAATAGTAATAAAATTGATATTCGAATAAATTACTAACAATTTGACGTCATTCTAAGGCCGGGTCCACTCAGAGGTTTTAAAAAAACAAAACAAATTTTTTTTCTGTTTGTAAAAAACAAAACTGTAAAAAAACATTTGTCCAGACTGAATGAACCAGTCAATATCTCACCTGGGTTTAATTAATAACCGATTTTTTTTTCCATCTTGTTTTTATACAATGTGATCTCAATTTTTCACAATTTTTTTTTTGTTTTTTCCCCATCCCAACATAGATTTTTTGATAGCAACTTTTGAAACTTAAATGGTAACGTATATATTTTATTACCTTTTAAATAGAGAATAATGAATTACAAATTTTGACTGGTCGATAACCAGTTTCGAATAACTATTTTTGAAGTTATAAGAGTTTAAAAGTTAGGATGGGAGTGGAAGTGCGGTTGGGAAATGCGCGCAGATAAAAAAAATACTACACTCCACTTCCCTTCCCATCCTAACTTTTAAACTCTTATAACTTCAAATATACAAAAATAATTATCCGAAACCGGTTATCGGCCAGTCAAAATATTTAGTACATTATTCTCAAATTAAAAAGTCAACAAAATAATACATCACCATTTAAGCTTCAAAAGTTGCTATCAAAAAATCTTAGTTAGGAGGGGGGTAAAAACAAAACAAAATTGTGAAAAAATGAGATCACATTGTATAAGAACAATATGGGAAAAAAATGCAGTTATTATTTAAACCCAGTGAGATATTGACTGGTTCGTGATAAAAGAATCACCCTGTATAAACAAGTTATTAATATAACTTGTTTTAATTTTTTAACACATTAATGTTTAATTACAATTAATACCTAATTAACATTTAAACACAATTTTGTGTCCACACCGACCTATAGTGTTCATGAAAATAAAAACATCGATAAAATTTACCGCCACGAACGGGACACGGCTATGTACTTAAAAAACAAAACAAAATGTTGAAAAAAACCAAAATTGTTTGGAAATTGTTGAAAAACATGGTGTTTTTGTTTTGTTTCATTATTGTTCGGTCTGTGTGGACCCGGCATAAGAAGGTTCTGAAATGCTAGCAACGCTGCAACGTATAACTTAAAGGATTGGGTTGAGATCAACTCTTACCTATGGTAAATGGATATTGTATCAATATTTTTTTGCTAAATATAAAATATGTCGATATTTTGTTCGAGTATCCTTTTATTCGATTAATTTCGAATTACGAATAATATTATTCAATGAAATGTGTGCTATATCTTAAAAAGATTAGTTTTGTAATCATTTAAATAATATGTCCCATGTGTAATGCTTGGTGTGGTATAACAAATCCTATCCGTTTTACTAATATATTGTTTTTCTTTTCTTCACGTGCATCTTTAAAGACCCGGGGGGGAACCAGCCTAGCAAGGCATTACTACTGACCCCCGGATCACCGAAGCCCTTTATTGTTCCAGACAATATTACAACTTTGTTGAGAGGGTGTTCCACACCCTTTAACCGCACCCTTTATTTACTATACACCTCGACGGCCCCAACGAAAAGGACAGTAACTCACTTTTTATCATTTTTCAGGTTTTGATAAAATCTGATAGTGCATATTTTTATTTATTTCCCTGGAAAACGGCAGTATCTCAAAGAGCCCAAAGACATCATAAAATCAATTTTTAAAAACTCCCAAAACAGCGATTTCCGACGAAAAAAGTAGTATCATTAGTTACGTCCGCTTTATATCAGAATCAAAATTAGCATTATTAATTTTTTTTAACACCTAACATCAATTTTAATTAAAAAAAACACGATACAAAAAAAATTAAAAACAGAATAAGAAATCAGATTTAAAGTTTGGTTTTAGTCTCCTGAAAAATGGCAAAAAATTAGTTACTGCCCTTTTCGTTGGGGCCGTCGACTTGTATCTTAAAAACTAACATAGCCCTGCTGGGGTGGGGGGCCCAATAACAATATAAACATTGAGCCCCGAGGAACTTTGTATTCAAAATAACTTACAACTACCGCTAATAAGTCTATTGGAGGTATCGCTGCCAGTATGTTGGCTGCGTCATGCGACACTGTGCGGTAGGCGCAGATGCTCTCGGCGCTGCTCTGCGGTGCACCTTCCTTAATCCCTCTACGTTGGCTTTGCGGTTGGGGATTCCACCGGCCTACTCAGGTTTTTAGTTTAACACAGACTCCTTTATACTTGTTGTACTTAGTAGTCGAAAACCTAACTTAACCAACCTAATATAGTAAATTATGATGTTTGGAAAACTCGATGTTTTAATATTTTGTTTTCGAATTACAGAACATGGAAAAGCAATGTATGAGAGTTGTCGTCTCGAAAGAGCCGTTAATACGGGCATTACACCACCGTGGTGTACTGTGTTTTGTACACTGGACCTTCAAGTAATATTACGGATGCTAGTGTACTAGAAAAAATATTCGTTAATTATTATAACTGCTTCATCAGGTTTTTGAGTATTTGAACGATATTGGTTGGTATTACAAACTTGGTTGGGGTAATCCGGACGGCTATCGACTGGGCTGTCCGTTGTTGACAAGACTTAACTTAAGTTTTAAGTATAGCATATAAAAACAATTTACAATTTTTCTTAAATAAAATCGAACAAACACTAATTGTATGTGTCTACACTATTTCAGAAATGCTGCTGACAGGAAAGGAGCAAAAGCTGTACTTTATTTTGGACACAGAGATAACCTGTTTGTAGTCATCACCATACTAGGATTGGCTAAAGACGATACAGCTCTAAAAGCAGACAATATGGATGAGATGGCCAAAAGAAAGTGGAGAACTTCATTCATAAATCCATTTGCTGCAAATATGATTGCCGCATTTTACTCATGTAATGATAATGTTGATAGAGTATCCTTCTTTCTTAACGAAAAACTTGTGCCCATTGAATTAAAAGACAAAAAACTTTGCACTTTGTGTGATTGGAAAGACGTCAAGGAAAAATTCGATAAAATTACTGATGATGAAAAATGCACGTTTGGTCATGTTATAACAGCTCCTTAAAAAGTATTTTTCAAATAACTTCCGATGTTTTGTTATTCTACCGTTTACATTTAAATACCACTCAACCCTCAAATACAAGAAATTAAAAAAAAAAATTATTAGATTCCCTGTATTCAAGTATTCTAAACTGTATTTTTTTCTAAATTTTTTTAATACTCTATCATTGCTTGTACATCTAGACCAGTTATTTCTCAATATTTAAAAAATATTGTGAATTGGTCACACTTCAGAGTAAAAAGAAATTACTAAATTCCTTTTATATATATACCTACATATACCTATTTATACAACATATATTTCAATTCGTAAGTTTGATAATTTAGGTTTTAAACCCAATAAAATTATTATAAGATTTGAGATTGCACTTAATATTAAAATAAACATTTTTAACATAGATTTTATCGCTGAAATTTGGTATTCTTTTAAGTTTTTATATTAACATATGTATTGTATAAACGTTTTTGTCCTATATTTCTGTGTTGTGTAAATAATAAAGGTTGATGTCTTATAACATCTAGACCAGTTATTTCTCAATATTTAAAAAAAAAAAACCAAAATAGGTTTTTGTACACATGTTTAATTTATTTATTTAATACTTACATACCTATTTTTCAATTATTTATTAATGTATACAATAAATATAATTGATATCATATTCTAATAAACAATTATTTGCATTATTAAAAACTAAAAAAGCATTTTTTATGACCTTAAAATACCAAATAATCCACAAATACTAGAAATTAGAAAAAAAATTGGTATATGACCTGTTTAACTCTGCTTTATAAAGTTTTAAATAAAACCGCAAACTTTGAAAGCAAATAGCATATTTTCCAAAAGTTTTATTTTGAAAATGTCTTTCATTATTATTATATCATTTTTATATTCAACCAGCTCACACATAATGCCACTTTGTGAAGTACAGAGTACACAAAATGATTTTAATATAGGTACTTTTATAGAAACTATAGGTGTCATTTAAGGTCCAAACAAAACATAAACAATCAAAATAGGGATAATAGTACATACTCATATAATACGAGTTAACTACAAACTTGTAATATAAAATATATTACAAAAAAAAAACAATATTTGAGAAATATAATATCTTACTGTAGGATACCACAACAGGCCAGACACATAAGATAAATGAATAATAAGGAAGTGAAATGAAGTCCTGCTTACATCTAGACATTTTTCGATTCAGGTTTTACGCGCCAGCCACCACTAGACCCAGCAGCTAAACATTTTTGCACGCTTAGTGTCGACTACCTTAGGTGTTTTTTAAAACCTAACCTAACGTGACATATTTTATGTGTATAATTAATGTGCATGATGAATTTTAATTTATTAGTTACTAAGTAGAACTAAGTTAAAAGAAACAAATGTCATAAGCACAAGCTATTTTCAACATTTTTATTTAGAAAATTATTTGTATTTTAAAATTATTAATTTATTAAATATTTTATTATTAAACATAAAATGTTTATATTTCTGAATGTTGACTGAGCTACGTAAACAATATTTTAAAATTAATAAGAAATCTAAAACTAATGATATTAACTTCAACATTATACTTATTTTGATTCACGGTGATACACCCTGTATAATGTAATATTCAGAAACTCGCTAATATAATATAACGTGACATACAATTATTTATATATCATAATATAGCATGCAGCACTCGATGCTTGCACCCCTAAAACTTGTATGGCGCATAATTTAGTTGGTAATCCGGTCTTTTAACGCCAGCTGCTGCTTATTTGAGAGAATGGCTCTGGATGACAAACCTCGTTCAAATAATTCATCCTATTTGCAGCTGTGTACAGTAAAGGTTATTGAAAACCAGTTGGAACGAGCGTGTCGAACAGAGATAAAATCTGTACATGTTAACAAGCTAAATACAGACATTTAAAAATAAAGTATATTACAAAGATTGAGTTTGTATATTTTTTTCGAAATTTAATTGTGTCAAATTTGAGAGTTAATAATATTTGCCTATAGAATCGTAGTTGTATTTTTTATCCAGAATTTTGTGTTAAGTTTGGCGCCACTGCCTCTATCGGCTATCCTAATTTATTTTGCCGGTTTTACTTGATTTAATCTTTCATAACTTGCAATATGATTAAACTATCACAATTAATTCTCTTTAAATTTTTCCTTGCTATTGATAGAATATCCAAACACTTCTTGTGAATTTATTATCAATTAATATATCTAATATATATTTATATATTAATTTATATATCATTAAATCTAAATTTAATAATAATATGTCTTATATTTTATTAATGGATTCGGCTTGTTCCGGTTCTTATAATAACAGATGTATTTTGTCCTGTATTCCTGTCGCTGTCCCTGTTCACTGATGAAGACTAATGTTAAACGAAAATAAATAATTGTATATGTAACTGTAGTTATCAAAAAACTATTAGTTTGTATATATACTATTAGTGCGATTTATATATATAGTCAGTCGTTATACAAATAAATATTTTTATAGATATTAAATCGTTGGTTAATCTGTCACTCTGCCATTGTTGAACGATAACCATTAAACACTATAATAAAAACTGGTCGCAAAGAACATGTTTTATTATTTTATTAAATTGTTTTAATTTGAATTATTTAAAACTAACAAAATTGCGGGATGTTATCTTTCATTGTGTAGCTTTGTGAAAAATATTTTTAAAGTAATAAGGAAAATTTAATAATATTATAGTGTAGTATAGTATAGTAAATTAATTTTCACACTTAACAATTGGTCAAAATTGGATTTTAGTAATTATTGTTCTAATAATTTTAAAAGTCAAATTGAAACTGATTCTGTAGTTATTCTTAATACGTTATCAAAACATACTGCTCCCATAGACCGTTGAAGAGACGTTAAGCTTTATATTTTACAATAAAATAGTTTGTTTATTCGGTGAATAGGTATATTAAAGAGTATCTCGCTCTTTATGAATTTCACTAATCTGTTTGCGATTCCTAGTGAGCACAATGTGCAAACGAATTTTATATAAACAGAGTATATAATATTTGTATGTACTTTGTGTGGTCCTTGTCCTGTTTCGACCGAACAGCAAATGGTTTCACGACAAACCCCCAAGCAGTATACGCTATATACGGGGTCCGGCAGGGAGGTATGGTGTTTTTGAAATGACTTTTACACATTTTCAAACCAATTTTAAAATTTATTTTTTCCATAAATTACTGAAACATTGCCATTTGCAAAACATAAAAAATAAAATAATCTACTGCGAAAAATTACATCAGTTAGGTGGCGTCCATTATTGTCGACGCATTCTTGTAGACGGGTGGCGAAATTGTCCATACATCTTCCAAGCATGACACGCAGAATCCTTTGAATCCTTTGAACCTAACCCAACCAGTTTCAATAAAGGTGTTATAAATAAAAACGCAATGTGCTACACCCCAAAGCTCTATTGTTACTAAAATGGCATATGTCATCGAATAGATGTCAACCTTTTTAAAACCAGTGTGACCACGCAAGCCAAATCGTTGTAGCTGGAACGTGTATTAGTTTAATATTAACCAACAACGATTTCGCTCCTCCTGGGACACTTCGGTATCGCACAAACAGGCTTCGTGGCAGAACTGCTGATCATAAATGGGTGGTTTTTCTTATTATTACTTGCAATCAGTTGCCAAAGAGCCGCCGAATTAGAAACGTTTTATTTAAAAAGCACCACGTTTTAAATATTATGTGAGGCACTTGGCTTGTATTCCATTAACCGCTACCATTAGACCCTGCTTACTGGTGAGACTGGATTCAATGATGTCGAACAAACCAAAAGGATTTTGAATTTACTTTACGTTAGGCAATCAATACAAATATATATACTTAATACAATAATATTTATACATAATATACTACAATAAGATCATCGTGTTTATTGTTAAAGATATTTCACAATAATTATTTTATGTTTATGTGTTTAATAATCTCTCACTCTCTAACGTTTAACGTCCGTTATTCCCACCGGTCGGGGCTTAGGCGATTTAGATTTGGCATTTTTGGGCTTATAGCTGGCTGCCGACCCAAAGCTACCAAACAAGTTGACCCTAGAGAGGTGGTCATTTCTTACCCCAGACAGTTGCCCGCCCGGAGGAACAAACCGCCAGTGACCGAGATTCGAACCGTTTATGTGTTTATTAATAATAAACATGAATAGTTTTTTTCAAGATAAATATTGTCTATTAATTGTTTCATACGCCCTTTTCAATGTGTCAAAATGATGTATTCTTAAAAATAATGTGTGTGTAAATAATGTACTCCGGTAAAAATCGATTTATAAATGATAGTTTTAGAGGATAATTTTTAAAATTAAAACACTAACCTACGTGTTTGTTGTTATAAAATATTTTCTGGCATTTTTGTCTATTTATTTTATTACCCACTCGTGTCTACTAAATGTAGGCTTTAATATATACAGGCCTGGGACAATCATTGACGTTAGCGGTTAACCGGTTACCGCGATAACAAAAGGTTAGATATACCATATACTCGTAATTTGGGAAAAGCGTAGGAATTGGTCACACTTCAGAGTAAAAAGAAATTACTAAATTCCTCTTATATATATATATATATATATATTTATACCTACATATACCTATTTATACAACATATATTTCAATTCGTAAGTTTGATAATTTAGGTTTTAAACCCAATAAAATTATTATAAGATTTGAGATTGCACTTAATATTAAAACAAACATTTTTAACATGGATTTTATCGCTGAAATTTGGTATTCTTTTAAGTTTTTATATTAACATATGTATTGTATAAACGTTTTTGTCCTATATTTCTGTGTTGTGTAAATAATAAAGGTTGATGTCTTATAACTCTACAAACAATATTTTGTTATTTAGGATTTATTTTTATTGTTCTATTTTTATTACATATATATATATATATAGGGTGATTTTTTTATCATGAGCCACTCAATATCTTACCAAGTTTATTTAATGATTTAATTTTTTTTTTTTTAATGCGTTTTTATATAATGTGATCTCAATTTTCCACAAATTATTTGTTTCCGCCCCTCTTCTAAACTATTATTTTTTATATCAACTTTTGAAACTTAAATGTAACTTAAATGATATATATTTTTTAACTTTTTTAATTGAGAATAATGTATGAAAATTTTGACTGGTCGATAACCAGTTTCGGATAACTATTTTTAAAGTTATAAGAGTTAAAAAGTAAGGATAGGAGGGGAAGTACGGTTGAGAAATGTGCGCAAAT